AGGACAAAAGTGAGAGGATCCACCATCCCTGCCCTCTCCAGTAAGCTCCATTTAAGAGTTATTAATTCTGAAACCACTGCTCATATTGCTGCATTGGATGGTCAGATGCATCATCAGAAGCATGTTCCTGGCACTTTCACAGTAACTACCTCAACTTTTATTTTGTACTTCGCTGACTTTTTCTAGAGCCTTAAAAATGCACACCAGGCCTATATGTGCATGAACAGCTCTAAGGTCAACCCCATGCCCTCCTTCCCACATTACCAGGAGGATGCTCTATCTGCTCTTAGTTGTCCCCACCACCCTCTTTTCTTTGTGCCCAGAACAGTACTTGAACATCTCTGTGGTTTTGTGTACCAGGAGGGACAGAATTAGCTATGGCAAGACAAAATCATTGTGTTGAAAAGGCATCATGTGCTCTGCCTTAAAACACTTCACTGCTGGTTGCTCGTGCCCAGCCCTTGCCCAGGGTGGATCATTCCTTCTGTCTGTACTTGCCCACAGCTGGGAAGCACCTGAATTGCCCACAGCACCCACTCTCTCCCCTGCTCATCCACAGCCACTCACCTCTCATACAAACAGAGATTTAGGTACTTGATGGCAACCCTCAGTTTTTTAGACACAGAGCAAAATACCAGAAGCTGAATTCAGATGAGGTTTTCAAGTGAGCTGGTTTTTTTTTCCATTTTGACAAATACATTAGTGACCCTGTCCTTTAGCCTGCAGAAGTTATCAAAACTGTTAACTGAACACTTAACTGAACACAACGTTCAAAAAGCAACACATCTCAGATAAGTGCTACTGAAGCTGAGCACAAACTTACACCTCATGCTGCTTTGTCAGTCAAAGTACCTCCAACAACCCAACACACATCACAGGCAGCAGACACCAACATTCACACCCCCATTATTTTATCAGCAGCAAGGCTGATAAAAACACTCCCTTTTTTAATCACTGTTGGACCTCACTGAAATGAGAAAGAATTAAGACCAGTATTTCAACAAAAACACAAGCTGGAAAAAGGAAGAGATACTCTATCACAAAAGTCAACAAACTGACAAAAAAATACACTAGCCAAAAAGTAACTATGCAGGTAGAAGAAAAATCTTATCTGCATTTAGAGGAATGAAATTTAAGGAAATTTAAAGGATTTAAGAAAGTTAATCAGGCAGAATAAACCACCAAGTACATTGGTTAAAATGCTGGTAATGTAAATAAGTAGAAGACCAATTTTATAGAGAAGACAAAACAGACAAATTTTAACCACGAACAATGAGATAAAATAAGGATGTATTTGAAAATACCAAAAGAAAAAAATGTTTGAAGGGAAGAAAATGCAATTCCCAGCATCTTGAGCACCTTTTATCTGTTTCTATAGAAAAAGAAAACAATCCATTTCTTAGCTGATGTGACCTAACACAGCTTTAATAACAACCATGGACAGTTTAAACTCTTTGGCTCAATATCAGAAGATTCCATTAACAAAAACTCAAGAGCTCAAATCTCAAGTTTATTATGCCTTATTGAGATTAATCTGTTCTCTCAATAGGTACAAAGTTGTTGTAAAACAAAGAATGAGAAAAATCTGGTTTTGTTTCACACCTAATACCATAACTCATCCTGATTAACTATTTTCTATTAGTACATACAACAAAAACAATTGATATTTAATATTATTATATACAATCAAATAACTTGCTATATTAATTTAAATAATCTCTTCCTATTTTTGATCAGAGGTGACACTTTTACTTAAAGCAGTCTTCTCTCAAATAAAGACATTCTGTAAGTGCAGAGGTCATTCTATTAACAACTGCTGCTCTGTTGTAGCCAGCCACCAAGAATGGCTTTACTCCAATTAGCACTATGTTGTGCTCTATGCTAATTTAAGTTTTCTCATCAGGCAGACTACACAGGTCTCAGATTTTCAGATCTTCAGATTTTTTGCACCTTCCTGATACATTTGCAAAAGCACTCCACAAAAATTGTACAGCTTACATTTATTTGAGACTTCAATTTCCATCAAGGCTACAAGTACCAACTTCTCCAGGATTTGTAATATTATAGCATGTGCTATCATCCTCCTGCAGAATCTACATTTTTGTTTTCCACATATACAGCTTCCTAATCCAGATGGCTACATCTTACCATATGTGAACAAAGCAAAAGCAGAGACAGGCAGCTGGAGTGCCTCCCATGCCACTGGGATATATCTGGTTTTATCATGTTACTTTGATAAACAACAGAGACTGACAAATGTGAACCAATTTTGTCTAACCTCTCTATTTTGGACAGCTCTCAAAAAAGCTCAAACACTTTTGTACAAGATGTAGGAGACATGTAACTTATTAGCAATATCACCATAAAACTTGGAATGATTCCTGCTTTGAGGATGTAAAGACAGACAGAAAACATTGCTTTATCTTCCAGGAATTAGACTCTGTATTTGATAATCTTCAAAGATATCACAGTATCTCTTACCTAGACAGAAGGCAAGGCAGATAAAAATGGGTTTGGGGGAGAAAGTACCTTTCTCATCTTCCATTCATACCTCGGATAGGTAGAACACACTGAATACACACAGTCCTACTGGTAAAATGAAAAAGAAGAAGTGTGAGAGCTGAGGGAAAAATCCAACACACCATGAAATAAAATAAAATAAAATGAGAGGGGCACTAAGACAACACAGAGATTTAAAGACAATCTGTCTCTGCCTAGTAGCAAATATTAGGCTGCGAGAGCTTCAAAAGCATTTAGAAGTATGACTGCAACAAGTCTAAGAATATTCACCTATATATCAAGAGGTTTTCTTCCAACTTTTCCCAACCTATTCACAATAATTCTGACTTAAAACAGCAAGTGTAAACACAATATAATTAATAACAGCAGCAGCATTCCAATGAGGATTTACAATCCCACCAGCTCCACTTTCTTACTACATCATTCTAATATGTCACTGGGACAAGAGCAATGGAAGCCATGTATTGGGGGTTCTATTAATAGAATGACTCATATATTAGCATTTATCTTTGTCTGACCACCTGCAGTTACTGGCCTGTCCATCATCAGTGCCAGTGCCATGAAAAGCATATTCTACCAGGCTCTGACGTGGCTGTTCCACCAGCAATGTCACTGCAAACACCCGCATGGATGGTGCTCCTGTCACTTTCCATCCTGAAGCACAAACACTCTGACAACAAAATATAGCAGCTTTCCATGCTGCTGCCATAACAAGTCAAAACCACAATGCTCTCAAAAATTACTCTTTAAAGTACCAACCAAGCCATAGCACTTCACCCAGGGCAAATCGCTGTATCAAACCATCCTCACTGGCTGGGCGGTTTTCAACATCTTTTTGTTATTTCTGACTGTCTTTGTTCCCTTGAAGTCACAGATAAATAATTTATATAGACTATCCCTGAAAACCCTAATGGAGGGGAAAGAGCCTATTTAAGGAGCATGAGTGAGAATAAAGAACCATGAAGAGTGCACTTGAGATGCTTAAATACTAGTAAGGACTTCGGCATACCCTCTTGTTAAACTAATCACACAGATTTATTCTGAAAGACTTATTCTAGTGCTTATTAGGAAATGAGCTGAGTGACACACTCATGTCTTATTTATCTCTCTAGAAACAGTAAGAATACTGATCTTGCACCAACACACCCATCACACATATCAATGAAAGCGTTTACAACGGGACTTATATAGCCTCCAAACACTCATTACGAATTACTGTTTAAAATAATTCTCAGATTTATGTACAAGGAGAACGAACCTTCCCTTCAAAACAAATACACAAATTCAACCGAGAACCGAAGTTTTCTATCCCATATGGGTTTTACAGAGGTTTAAATGATAAGGCTTACAAGCCATCTCGGGCGCTAACCAGCAGCTGCCTGCCCGAGGGGGCTGTCCTTCCTTCCCACCGCTCCTGTCCCGCCGCTGAGCTCAGCCACCCCGCGGGCAGTCCGGCTCCCGAGCTGCCGCCGCCCTCGGGCTGCCCCGAGCAGGGAGGGACGAGCTCCCACGGCCATTCCTCGAGGGAGCCGCTTCCCAGGACGGCCGCTCCGCGACCCCCGAGCACGTGTTCGCAGGGGGGGCAGGAAGGCGCTCCCGGGGCGCCCCGCAAGAAGCCGAGCGCGTCCCACCGCAGCCGCCGCCGCGGAGCAGAGCATCGGCTCCGGCCCCGCTGGTCCCGCGGAGGAACACGGCCAGCTCCCGGCTCCGGCCAGCTCCCGGCTCCGCCCCGCTCCCGGCCCGGCCCCGCTCCCGGCCCGGCCGCTCACCCACCTGCACCGCTTCCCGCTCCCGCTGCGCCGCAGCTCCGCGGCAGCCCCGCGCGCCCGCCGCCGCTTCCGGCGCTCCCGAGCCGTCGGCGGAAACCCCCGCCCGCCGCCGCGGAGCTGCCGCCCATTGGCCGCGGCCGCGCCGGGAGCTGCGCGTCGGCGGAAGCGCGACGGGCCGGGGCGGCGGAGGGAGCCGTGCTGTCCAGTCCCGCCACTGCGCCTCCCCGAGCCTCGCCGCGACTCCCCGAGCCTTGCCGCACCTCCCCGAGCCTCGCCGCGCCTCCCCGAGCCTCGCCTCGCCGCACCATGGGCTCCCGCGGGCTGAGCCCCGCCTGACGGGACGCCGGGCGGGGGCAGCGGGTGTCGCGAACGCTCGTCGCAGCTCGCTCGCTTCGGGCCCTTGCGGAATAGGAAGGCACGAAACAAGCGGCCGGTCGGGGCCGCGCTGTGATGGTATGGCCAAAGGCGTTAACACAGCCTGTGGAAGTTGCTGAGCAGTCTGCGGTTCTGTTGCTTTAATGTCCCCCTGCTCGCACTGAACTCTGAAATAGATTACGTGTCGCGTGGTTTGAGGAGGAAGGGCCGGCACGAAGTGACTTAGCCAGATCTGCCCCTCCTGGGTGAAGCTCTGGGCGAAACCAGGTGTGATTGAACCAAGCAGCTCTTCTCCCATCTTGGCTGTGCTGAGAATCCCTTTAAAAACACTGTTGGAAAAGCTTTGATGGGCTTTCCCTTTGGAGCGTGGGGGAAATGGTAGCATAGAAATGATGAACGTCTGAGGGCCCTGAGTCTCTCCACGTGGAGGGGAAAGAAGACAGCCCAGGCCTACAGAGCACTCCATACTTCTATAGGTATTGTACATTTGTTGTGCTGTATCATCTTCATTCACAATAAAGTCTCAGCGAATGCTGATTAGTACTGGGGATGAAAATGGAATCATATAATTATATCTGTCTGGGACAAAGTTCTACTGATTTTGGCCAAGGTGGATGTGACATCTATATGTAATCTGGAAAAGGAACATATATAAGTTACATGTGTTTGATAGATAGTCCGGATGGATCGTCTGGCTGCCCAGTCTTACTGTCCCTAAGCTTTTGTAGTTAGATCAGTACATAGAAGTGTTTTGATTCAAACCACAGATCCTTTTTATGTTCCTCTTTGGCTTGAGCAAATTGTATTATTTCTTTGCTGATAGTGCTAACCTTATTTACCAATTCTTGCTCCTGTTTAATATTTGCTTGGTACTATTTAAGGGAGTGTGAGATAAAACAGATTATTCTCTTACAGCTTGCTCCATGCCCCTTGTGCAGGGCAGAATTGTGGCAAGTCGTTAATACCCTTCTCAGGGAGCAGACACTTGTTTATTAGCCTGAGAAAAGCTCCTGCCGCAATTGATGGTTTCTTGATTTGGGTCTAAACTCCACTGACACTATTAAATCAGGAAGAAAATACGTGTTTTAAGGATTGAGATAGAAAAACTCTTAATTGGCTTGAGTGGGAGTGTCTTGAGAAACTTGCTCACAAATCATTTGTACATACTTCTGTTGATTAAATCATAGATCTGACATTGCTGCAATGCACTTAAAAACAAACATACAAGTTTGTGCTTTTAAGTTGAAATGCCAAAGTTAAGTCAAGAAAGTAGAAGTAAATTTAGGCTCCACTTGATTCAGAGGCATCTGAACTGTTTTGGTGGTGTCCTCATGTCCCCTGTTCTCTGGGATAGAGTAGAAAAGCCAATTACTGAAATTAATAATTGTCTTTCTGTGATACCCCCAATACTAATGACAGATGCTGCATTAAGCATATTGGATTGAACCAAAACATATTCACGTATCTGTTCTATTTTTCAGGAGACTTAATCATTGCTGACAGATGGCTTTTGTCAAGAAAAAAAGGCTTCTTTTAGTTCTAGTTGTTAGAAAAGACAAAAAAGATTGAATTCAAGAAGTCATTGTAATGAGACATAACTCTGTTGTCAAAATTAATATGTGAAAGGGATGAATTAAGAAGGCATTAATGAGGCCATTATATTAATGGGAATTGGTGTGCAATTCTGTGGAGGTATTGTAAAGGCTTTTAGCCAATGTTTTAAAGTTAAGTAATGAAGGTAATACCTTGAAGATCAAGAAAGTCCCAGAAAAGCATCCAGGATAAAATAGAAATGTTTTGATTTGTTGAAAAGCTCTAGCAAGATAAAGGCTTGAAGCCAGGCTGTACCTGACTTTCAGTTGAGTCCCCAACAGTAAGAAGAAAGTGAGATGTTGTTTTTTGGTTCATTTGGAGGTTTTTGTGAGGGAAGATGTGGCAAGCACATTTCTCTCCCTCTCAGGATTTTTCATAGAGGTGCACAGAGAGAAATGAAAGAGAAAACAATTTCTATTTCTGCTCCTTGTTTTTCCTATGTGGAATGTGTTTGGAGAATTGTTTACCTGGAGTGAGTGCTTGCTTAGATTCTGGTGAGGATTGTTTGAGCCTGATGGCCAATCCAATCCACCTGTGGCTGAACTCTCACGAGAGGGTTGCGAGTTGGGTGAGAGTTAGAGAAAGTAGTATGTAGTTTTAGTATCCTCCTTTTATATAGTATATTAATGTATTTTAATTCAGCCTTCTGAATTGAGTCAGACATTGTCATTTCTTCCTATTGGGTTCACCTGCATTTACAATAGGAAGAGGATTTTTTTTTTCCTTGTCAGCTGAGCAGAGAGACTGATAATCGTGAAGAAAGAATGTGATCAAAATCTTACATTGGACAGTTCTATGAAGTTAGAAAATTCCTGAAGTAGTAGGACTCTCAGCCTTGTAATGATGAGCCTCCAGATGACATATCTTGTCTGGAGACTTAGCTTAATGCTGGAACTGGGATTTTTTACTCCTCCAACTAGAAAACATCATTGTAATAAATGATGATAACCATAGAGTTGCTGTACTCCCTCTTGTATTAAAGTTGTGTCTGTATAGTGAGTCAGACATTAAAAATAAGCAGTACTTGCACAACAGTCCTAAACAATACAAATTGCTAAGAATATTTGGGCAGTTGGAGCAGCAAAACTGTTCAGCCCAAAGTTGTCCAGGGGAGTAGAAACAACATTCAACCTCAGCTGTCTGGCAGCCAGTGCTGTCAGGGTGTAACTCTTTCAGCTTCTGGAAAAAGCAGTGTGCAGATGAAAATAGTGGTTCTGTAGGCTGCTTTCATTAACAACTTCCTAACAACTGAGCTGGTAGGCCAGTAGTAATCTCCGCCTGATGTCTCACCTTCTCTGTGGAGGTTTGCGCTGTGGCACTGTGGAAGATGCAGGCTGACTGCTCTCCTGTCATGCTGCTCTCCCTGGTGCCTGCCCATTAAAATGGGGGCTGCTTTGGCCTGCTGTTGCAAGGTGCTCCAGCTTCTCTTGCCTTTTAGCCAGAGTGAAATTGTTGTAGTCAGATACTTGAGGATCACTTCCAGTGTTTTCTTGTCCACTGCTGCAATATATTAGCACTGGCAATATAGCATAGTGCAGTGTTGAGATTGTTCTTCCTGAATCCTTCTATCCACTGTACATCTGGATAACTGCACTTCAGGCCATCCATTCACATGGCATGTTGCCAAGTCAGTCTGGTTAGGCTTGTCAAGGATGCTAATGCCAAGCAGAAAGGAATTTGGGATAATGAACCCAATCTGCCTAACACCAGATGCAATGTGTGGCCTTTATTGCAAATTTATTCTGTTTTCATTTGCTTAACCTTTGTGTTGCCATTTTTGCTCATGCCAAAAACAGTCTCTGAACATGAAAAACCTCAAAATTGAATCACTTGTAAACTGCCACTCAAATGAATTGTGATACAGTAAGCATGTCAGGAAAGAGAAGCAAAGCACTTGGATAATCAGTGTCTGCTGGGAATATCAGGCCTTCAGATAACTAAATCATGAAATGCCAGAAAGTATCCTCTGGATTAGAGTGTGATATTAGTTACTTTTATGGGCACTTGGCCAAGCAATCTGTTCAGACTGGCTACCCAAGAAGTCCCCTAAGAAACTGTAATATGGCAGATGTTGATTTTAATACTTTAGGGGTTTTATCTCTTCATCAGCTTTTGTCTGCATTTTTAAAATGAGGCGGTCTTGCTGAAGAAGTGGCTTGATCCTCAGTTGAGAATTGGCTAGAGGTGCCAGGAAGCACTAATAAGGCTGTAGGAAAATGGACAAGGAGGTAGAAATTGGACTGTGTAGGGGAGTGGGTTTGCTGTATTATTTGGTATGGCCTTTCATAAGGGGTATGTTTTGATCTTAAATTTTACTCACTTAGCTCTTGGTCTCAACCATGGCTACAGAATGGATCAAAGAGAATGTTTTGCACAGACTTTACACCACTAAAAATCTTGGGAAATGTCCAAATGTGAAGAAAAACATTAGCTTGCCATTTTCCAGTTAGTTTGGTTACTCTTCACCTAGTACTAGATGATATGTACGGGGTTATAACAGTATTTTTAATTGATTGTTTCCAGACATACTCAGTTTCAAAAGCATAGAAAAGATTGGAAATTAAAATGGAAAGACTGGAAATTTTCCTGCTTCCTACCAGGAGAAATCTGACTAGTCAGAGGGAGGAAGGGGATTGCTTCTACAGAGATGCTGCTTTATGGTCAGCTCTGGACACATGCAGTTCTAGAGTGCAGAAACTTGAGCAATAGTTAAGAGAGGAAATGAAAGCATGCCACTTTAGCATCATCTACATTGACTTAAAAATGTATTTATCTCCCTCCCCACAATAATTAGGACTCTGCTTTAGGGAAACTTCTTTTCCCCCCTTAACCAATTGTATTTTATTGTATGTTGAACTTGTACTTGCATCAAGAATCAGATAATGCTGGTACTGGCACAGAGGTCAGTAATTTGACACATTGTCCATAATGTTTAATAAATGGACATTGCTTGTTTCTTTTGGCCCTCAACCTTTCTAATTACATGGATCACCAGGGAATTATTGTAAGTACACTAACTTGCCAGTTTTTTCTTGACTTCAAATCAACTCACATAGAACAAAAATATGTTTGGACCCAGGAGAGAAGGAAGGCGTGTATGTCTTCTGTAGTCCATAAAGGCAAACACTAATTTTTGTGTACAATGATGCAAGGGAAATGAAAGCTATGCTGTCCTGCAACTTTATCATGGATGTCTGGGCTAGGTTTGAAATAAAATTGAAAGTCTTGAAACAATTTTTAAAATTGATTTCTTTGTTCAATACAGTTTAACTCTTCTCTCTTTTTCCTTTCATCAGAAAAATGAGTGGTGGGTTGGCACCAAGCAAAAGCACAGTGTATGTGTCCAATTTACCCTTTGCTTTGACTAACAATGATCTGTACAGGGTAAGTTTTAAGAGATGCATTGTTTAGATTAAACTTGTTGACAACAATTTTGACTGTAAAATCAATACTGATATATAAGTTTGTCATGATAGATTTATTGTTAATGAAATGCAATTGTCTGTTGTTAAATCTTTTTATTTTTTTTATATTTCAGATATTTTCAAAGTATGGGAAAGTTGTCAAGTAAGTGACCTGATATGGCCTTCTATTTTTGTACCTCTCATTTTAAATATTTTATGTCTTTCCTTCACTTGAAAGTCTTGAGCTTTTTGTAATTAAAGTATGAATGTGGAACTGTATTGAAGTTCTGTTCATTTTTAATAAAGTATAATTCTATTTGAGAACTGAAAGTTCTTGCAGTTACATACATAATACAAGAATATTTGTGTTTGGGACAGGTTTTGCTAACCATTTCTTGAGAGCAAGTAGAATGTTGTTGCACACCATCAGTCCTTTCTCTGAAATAGTTGAAACAGTGTTCTAGTATTATTCCCCTTTCTTTCACCACTGTGGGGCACAATGGGTAAGTGTGACAGTGGGAGCTTCTTACGTGAACTAGATGTCACAGTTCCCACAATGCAGTGTACAGTTCTCCGAGATTCTAGAGGGACTGGTTATTGTGACTACTTAGTATTTTACCTAAAGCTAGATGTAAGGCTGCATTAATGGCTTTTAGTATTTGGGGTATTCATGAACAATATATGTGAATAGCAGCCTCTGTGTTCAAATGATTGAAAGAAATGCCACAGTAAGAAACTGACTAGTTTGTTTAATTTTTTTTAATTGGTCAGAATAAGGAGACTCAAGTCTTCAGTTTTTAATCTTAAACCAGCAAGTATCTTGTCTAATTTCTAGTAGCTGTTGCAATAACTTATGAGATACAGAGTTTCAAAGTTTATGCAGTCTCAGAAGTGTGTTTCAGGTGACAAATAGCAGGAAAAGTAAATATATCTTGACTATTATGACTTCAACTGAGTTTGTTCGTTAAGAAATCGGACTTTCTATGGCTCCGATAAGTTCCTGACTTTTTAAAGATTTGTCACACTTGATTCTTTCTGTTCTTGTATTATTAACTGGTATGTTCAATATCCTGATTAGAAGCCTGACAGTCATACCAGGCTTCTGTTGGAATTCTTCAGAGTAGTTTGGCAGAAAAATTAATAGAATTGTTTTAAAGTCAGTTTTATTAACATTTGAACTTAATGCATGAGTTGTAGGTGTCCTGTCCAAGAGGCTTTGGTAGTAAAACTGTCAAATTCAACCTTTTTGTGCATATATTTGGGGAAATTTGGGCTTTGTTTACTGTGTTTTTATTTAATAAACTTTTTACCATGTAGGTCATCTGTTACTTATGCACGTTGTATGGTAGTCCTTTTATACTGAAGTGGGGTTTGGTTTTTTTGGTTACTTCTTAGAATTTTGGCTTCCCCTGCGGCTGAACCTTGTTCTGCCTATGGTGGACGTAGGGAGGAGTGTATTCCCTACTTTTTTACCTGTACTTTGATTTTTATGTACATACAGCCTGACATTCTGGTTCTTACTGTTGTTATTAGGTTTTTTTCAGGAGATGCATACTGAATACAACTAACATTAAGATGGAAAGAATTGAGGCTGTGTGGGTTCCAGCCATATACATACACACTAGCCTTGTCTTATAAATTATTATCTTCAGGTTTTGTTTTACTGTTTCTAGATTTTCATTAACTTCTCAATGTACTATTGGAGCTGTTGATTTCAATGTTAGACTGAAGATTTAACTTTGTATGTCATGTGAAATAACACATGCATCCATGGTCTTTGGATTTCATTTGGAGATATTTGTAGAACAGTGCTGCATATAGTTAGTGTTTTCTATTGTGAACCTGTTTAGCTGATGAGTCCTACACAAATGTAAAAACAATTTCTCAGTTTGGAGGCAGTTCACACTGTGCTTTTCATCAATAATAGCAATGGTAAGATTACTCATTAATTTTCCTTTCACCTCCAGTATATATAGTTCCCTTCAGTTACGTTGCTTGTAAATCTAAAGATTATGTTCTATGTTCTTCAAGTCATCCAAGGGAATTAAGAGTGATACTGGTCCCAGAAAGACCCCACATGCTTTTTTAAAATCATCTCTATATACACGGCCAGGTTAGCTATTCCTTTGAATTTCTGTTTAATGAGTATTTTTATTGTTAAATATACTTTAACTCTTTTGCTGTGTAACAAAGGGAAGATCCCACTGAGATCTTTAAGGAAAAAAAAAAATCTCTGAAGTAATTTTAGTGTGGTTCACTAAAATCAATAATGTGGTTATATGTTTCCAGAGTTACCATTATGAAAGACAAAGACACCAGAAAGAGCAAAGGAGTTGCCTTTATTTTGTTTTTGGATAAAGAATCTGCACAAAACTGTTCTCGGGCACTTAATAACAAACAGGTAAATTGTGGAAAGTTTTTATGGCAGGAGGGTTGGGCTTTCAGTCCCAAATCATTTACCTTTTCTTTCCAATTTTCTGTAGTTGTTTGGAAGAGTAATAAAAGCAAGTATTGCCATTGATAATGGAAGAGCAGCTGAATTCATTCGCAGGCGGAACTACTTTGATAAGTCTAAGTGTTACGAATGTGGGGTGAGTAAAACCAAAAATGTAGAGAAATGGACAAAGGTTGTGGGTTGAGATAAGAACAACTTAATAATTGAAATAATACTAAATAGTAGTCGTAATAGTAGATGGTAATGAAAGTAACAAAGAGAAACAAAACCCAAGAAAGATAAGTGATTCACATGAAAACTTGTAATGACAACTTCCTACTCTTTGCTTCGAAGTATCTGCTTTTGCTATAGCTTTGGAAGTTCATGATTTAGCTGGCAAAAGAATAAATACAGGAAACAACCGTTTTATATAGAAATTAGTTTTAAGTTTTAATTAAGTCCTAACTTTTTCTGAACAGAGTAATGTAGGATCATGATATTTGGATAGTATTTAATGTCCAACACAAACTTGATTTGTATTCATAACACTTCTTACAGCAAAAATGTCACCTTACTCCTGTGTCTTAAATTGTTAATTCTGAGGTTTCTATCTTGTTTTGACTATAAACCATGTGTAGTTTTTTCAGTTATTGCAACAGACAAAAAAAATCTACTGTTCTTGTAGCTTGTTCTCAGTTTGCAGTTAAGTATGCATATCACCAGTAATCTCTTCATTTCCATGGTAAGCCTAGAGAAGAGTTGTCTTCTATCTGCTAATTCAGCATTCCATTTATCTTACTAATTGTTCCCATATTTTCCCACCATGAACTTCCCTCGTGATATGTTTTAACCTATATTTGTTTGTAATGGCTTCTGTTAAGCAATATTTCTTTCTCTCCAAGGAAGCAGGACACTTAAGTTATGCTTGTCCTAAAAATATGCTAGGGGAGCGGGAACCACCAAAAAAAAAAGAAAAGAAGAAGAAAAAGAAAGTAGTGGAGCCAGAAGAAATGTATGTATATTGAGATACATGTTACTACTTTTTTTTAGGAAGTTTTTTCATATTAAACACCTAAATATCTATATTTTTTTCCTCCTCTCTCCTTGCACAATGAAGTGAGGAGGAAGAAGAAAGTGAAGAGGAAGGAGAAGACCCTGCTCTAGATAGCCTCAGCCAAGCCATAGCTTTTCAGGTACAAAATTGAAGCATGGCATATTTATTTTTATTTTTTAAATTCAACTCCCTTATTTAGCTGCTTTTCAGAAGCTCTGATATACATGCATAGGTCTGTCTGCTCTAAAGCACTGAGTGGGCTCTGGTTTGGTAGCAGTAATTGGTAACCATAGTTGGCTTCTTTACATTGCAGGCATGTTTAGTGGAATTTTTGGGTTTCTTGCCCTTTAACTATTGCTGTATTTGTGTGTTGCAGCCTTTTTTTTCCTTCAAGCTCCTTTGGTATTTGCTTGTGTCATCTCTGCTGTGATGCTCTGTTAGGTTTTTGCGCACAAACCCCTCTTTACTTTGTTGTCTGAGAAGACAAAAAACCAGTCAAGTATAAGCGACCAGACACATCCTCTGTCCTCACTGGAATGTCCTTGAACATTTATTACTGGCACACTTCCTTTGCCTAGTACAGACCATCGCATTCTCTCATAAACCTCATCTCCCAAAACACATTTAATGCATATTTTTTTTATGTAGCTAGCTTATCTAACATCTGTATTACTGTCTTTATCACTTCTGTATCTCTAGACCCTTTTGCTTCATGAAACAGAACAAGCCTGACCTGATAGTCAAATTTCTTGACTCTCTGGTCAACATTGTTGCCTGTGTGCCTGTCGCCCCCCAAAAAACCCTCAAGAGTTAATAACTTTGTTCTGAATGTGACTTTAATGAGTGCAGGACTTTTACATGATGTAGTCCAAAAAAGTGATTCACATATTCCTAATGTTCCTCCCTTTCCCCAAAAACTCCACAATTGGAAATAAAACCTATGAAGCCAGGAAACATTCTCATTTCTATTGATGCCTCACTATCACCATCCAAAGATTTTTAACTGGAAAAAAATAGGAAGCTTTTATTTAAACTATTAGTTGAATAACCTTCAGTAATAATCCCCAAAGGCACTCATTATGTGAATGAATGACTGCAAAGGACAATGGATAGAAGCCTTGTTAGCAGAACAAAGCTGATTCAATAACATCAGTTCAAAACATGAGACATTTTTTGCTTTAGATCTCAGCTAAAGTGATCTGCTTGGATTTTTTGCTTTAGATCTCTTTATATTTTTGGAAGTTTGCCATGGGCAAAATTCCTCTTTCTGAGAATACAGGATGGTCCAGGCAGCTACTGTGATGTAGAAGACAGCTTATATGTGAGAACTACTTTCAGAAATGTTTCCTAGTGCTTTGATCACCCAGTTTATCTGGAAATAAACCCTTGTAATTTTTTAACTTATTTAATAATTCAGTGTGTATTAAGAATTAGCACTGTTATTTGTACTGCTCCTTAATTTTTCTTAATCCCAGCTAATACCTCTCTTTTCTTCATTATAGCAAGCCAAAATTGAGGAAGAACAGCAAAGATGGACACAGACTGCAGGGGGATCTTCAATTTCAGATGATTCAAAACGTCCACGGATTAAGAAAAGTACTTATTTCAGTGATGAGGAAGAACTTAGTGACTGAAATAATTCTGTTTAAATGCATATATAAGATATATATAGAGTGTACATTTTGTAAAGTGCTACAAAGTGATCTGTAATACAGGTTTGTTTTGTGTTGAAGACACTGAAGATCATGGGGTTTTTTTATTCTGTCCCCTGACTCTCCCATCTTTTTATATCTGTGTCTCAAAACCTTGCCTTTCAAGGCAACTTTTTTAAGAAAATGATGTAATTATACACTTAAATCCAGAAAAGTATCTGAGAATGTGTCTTGCAGTTAATATCTAGACCCAAGTCCTAGCAGTGAAGTGTTTCATGAGAGAGGTTCCCAAGGTTTTTTTCCTAAGAGGAGTTCCTCTTAGGATGACTGTTAACGCCACTGATGCTTTATGTATTGGTCTATTTGGAAGCAGTGCTTTAGTAGTACTTCAGTAGATTATGAAACTTGCATTAGTTCCTCTGCATAGGGTTTAATTTTGGCTTTATGTCTGAAAATGTCTTTTTACTCTTCATGCAGTACTGTAATAAATTATTGTCACATCAACACTGTTTCTCCTGACTGCAGTTTGAGTGCCTAACAGTAATTAGGGTTATCCACAGAGTTTTAAATACACTTGGATCTAACCTGCATCACAGCCATCTGAACCTGTTAGCAAAATCCAAAAGGCATAGTTTCCTACATGCCTGAAAAACAGCTTTCATGTGTACTTGGGACCATCATGGTCTCTTAGCAAAGTGTCTTGCCATGTATTTTGCACATGAAGTTTTTCAGACTTTCTCTTTCCTTAGATCTCTCTAGGGTTCTAGGCATGCTGTCCTGTAGCTGTGATCGTTCCCGAAACCACAGAGACATGGTGATAAGGGTACCCATTTTATATTGGTGTGTGGTCTAAACTCTTCACTTGTAGGAAGCACATTATAAAATACATTCACAATTTCACACTTGGAAATAAGAGATGAGCTGTCCTCTTTCTATTTTCAGTTCTTCCTGTTAGCTCATCAGGACTTGATTTTTTTCCAAATATAGAAAATGCAAATCCAAATATACCATTATGTATTCTTAATTAATACCAATTTACATTCAAATATGTAACTGGGTGCAAAGCAAAGAGACATGCACACACACCCTCTAAGCTAATATAAAGTAGTGACATTCAGAACATCATTCTGGTGCTTTCCATTGCTCCTTGAACACAAGAATTCAGAAACAAGAATGAAGTAATACAAGTTTTTTCTGTGCAAGCTCCTCAAGTCAGCAGAATAGGAAAGAGCATTGGGCTCTAGATACAGGAAGATCTTGGACTCAGTAATCCAAGGAATGTTTTTAAGACTGATTTTGACTTTTTGCTGAAAGTACCATATTTAATCTGAAGCTTCCTTCACTGAACTTCAGGAAGATCTCTTAATACTGAATAGCTGAGAGCTAAACTGCCAGGCATATTGTTAATAAATGAAAATCATTCTACATCATGTATGTGTGCATTAATGAAGCTTGAGGAGTTCTAAACTCTACTAAGGAAGCAAATAATGCTGCCAGCATGCTTTTCTTCAAATGTTAGGTTAGGGCTCAATGGCAGTCCAAAAAAAAAAAAAAAACAAAAAGCAAACCAAAAAGATTATGCCACTATGTAAAATCAGACTTGGTCTTCTTCTCAAATACCATATTCAATGCTGGTTTTAAAGATAGAAAACTAGAATTTGACAGAGGACCAGTTTGACTTAGTCCATTACTTTGGTTTAGAAATAATTGATAGCTTGTAAGAATTAAGATTTCAGTGATGTGATTAGACAGCAAACTTCCACCTTTTATTTCATTACACCATGTAATGTAGTAGTGGAACTCACTGCCATGAGACTTTTTTCAGGGTCATGGGGTCAAAAGGATTTGACTTACACATGGAACACGATATTTTAAAATGTTAAAGTCTCTGCTCAGAAATATCCTCAAATAAAAAACAAAAGTGGTGTTGTTATGACCTAATACAGTACTTTTTCCAGAGTTCCAGTAGCTGAAGCACATTGATGTAGCTTTCTAGTCTGCTGCTTCTGCCTCACTGCTTTCCCCATAGCAGTAGCTCAGTCCAGACTATTACAACTGACCCCAGGGTTGTTCCTCCATGCTCTTTTGTTCCAAGCATAAAGTCACTTGAGGTAGGTGGCACTAGAAAAGAAACATAAAAATGAACATCCTTCTATGCAGAATTGGCATTTACAATTTTTTACCTTAAATCATCTTCCCTTTACAATTTCTTAATTCTTAACTTCTGTTGATCAGCAGTGTGTGTAGTTTTTGTATTAGAAGAATGCACTTAATGCCTAAAAGAATCTAAAGGGACTTTCAGGAATAGGATTTTTGCACTTGCTTCCTGAATAATTTTTAAGTTTCAGTTCTTTGTTGGCAAGATAACAAAGCATTTCTAGGTGAGAAATTCAGAACACTAGCATTAGGTAACTGTTACATTAGATAGCATAAATATCTGTTCCTCTTCCTTGAATACAAAGTTGTTTTCAAGAGCACCCCTAATGCAGCTGCCTCATTGTGGAAAAAAAAAAAAAACAAAACAAAAAAAAAGGCCAATGCCAATATTTGTCAGTAACATCTCTTTATGACTTTCAGCATGGAGGGGTTTGCTCCTGTTCGTGCCTACCCTCCCCTACTCTAATCAGTATGGCTTCAGATTTCCACCCGAATCCCATCAGTGCTGAGGAGCAAGAGAGAGTGTTAACGAGGCTTCTAATTTAGATCAGGCTAAGAGGGTGCAATTAGTGTGCAAAGCTCAAGCAACGAAGTGGTGCTTTTGTCAGTTTGGTATCCTAAAGCAGGAACTGGTGCTGGTGGCTCTGGGCCAGACAGGTAAGGCTGTGTAGCCTTGTTATCAAGAGGGAAGACTAGAAAATGCCTTGTAGAACACCTTCCTATTATTGTTAGAAAAAGCACAGACTTTTCTTCTGAGAGGTTCATGTTCAGGCTGTTTGGGGTTATTTTTAATACTTTGAGGCCCTGCCTTAGACTTGCAAGCTGAATTCTGGTTTTAAAGTACAAATAATATGGCTCTGATTGTAGAGAAATTTACAATAAGTGGGAGACATTTTTTTTAATAACATCAAAAATCATATCTTTCTGTAAATACCTGCTTATTAGATTTTGTCTTTTGTATTTTCAAAACAGCTTGAAAATTGTCCAATATGTTCTGGGTCATAGGACCTCCCATCCATTGAAATGGCTAATACAGTAGTGTCTACAAAATCACTAGGAGATGCCTTTTATCTGTCCTTGGGGAAGGAGGGATATGGAACTGGGATAAGGATGATTAGCTTAATTGATTATAAATGGTATTACTCATACTGTGCTTGTGCAGCGCTTGTTAAAACCACTGCAGCTATGAGACACAGGAATAATTTTAGTCCATGTTTAGTAGGCTCCCACTATGTGTTTGGCACATTCAGGTTACTACTCTCAGCAGAGCAAAAGAAAGGACTGTAAATATAAAGAACTATATGTACCTAAATAGGTGACTTCTGGAAGAAATTGTAAATACTTTATCTTTGGCTTCTGGGTCACTGTGTTTTCTGTGATAGCCCTTCTTTAATCTGCAGAGATGACTGACTGTAGCATGGGAAGGTGAGCTGTGCAGGCTGTTTAAAATTTTAAAATATCATGGTTTGCATCTAGGTTTTCTAATCAATTTAATAAGTACTACTATGAGTGTTTCTATTCTATTTTGCATGTGCAGTGTCAATATGATGGCATATTCCATCACTCTTCTGCTATTGCTCTTCTATAAAAATATTTCAAATAATATTCTTCCAAATGTACATAAATAACTTAAAATAACTGGTGGTAGATAGCTAATTGCTTCTTTTTAGTATAGATTACAAAACCATTTTTAGGTGTCCTTAAAATGCTCATCCTCAGCAGCTTTGTTTATCTTACAGATCTTAACAGGGTGACAGTTTTTTCCTGTAGCTGTAGAAGGCAATTTTTAAAAAATTACTACACTGCTCCTTCTTTATAGAAAAAGGTGTAAAGTGGAGGATTTAATCACTTTTAATGTAGATGACCTTATTTCTTGTGTCTATGCTGGTATCTGTAAAAACATATCCTAGCAGGAATAAGCTGAGGAAATAGTACATGTAAAGAAAGCAATATTTTTTAAGTTGAAGAATTGTACAGGTTTAAGAAATGACATTCCATCACTGTCAGGCTAACCCTGACCCTGCTGTGCATTCAGACAGACAAAATGTGTGCTTATGCCTGCATTTAATGGATGTGACAGGTAATGCAGCAAGTAAAGAGTTGCAGAAATTGTGGCAGTAGCATGTGATAAAAGCATGTGAAACATTTAACCAACCCACTTAGAAAATGTGGGTCACAATGGCTTGAAGAAATACCACAGTTACTAATATGAGAAGTTTCCTGTCTGATGAATAGGAGGCTCCAGAGAATCAAAAGCAACTCTGAGGTTTTAAGTTCATGAAAGGCAATGGCTATAAGCCTACATCAAGATAAGCCGATCCATGAAAATGCAGTTTTATCAATATCCGGTTAAAGAGAATTAGAAGGCATCCAAATTTAGATACTGCATCAAGCTCAGTGCAGTGCAGCAAAAACTGTCACTTGGTTGCAGGAGTTGCATTATTTTAATTGCTTATATGGAGGCAGAGGATTTAGATGTGTTCTGTTGAAAGAACAGATGTGGCTATGAAAGAAGGAGGGTCCCAAAATAGAACCAAAAGGCTCTGTGGCATACTGTGAAGTTCCAAGGCACTAAATTGTATTTTTAGAGTGGGATAGAACCATGTCTGCTTAATTGAAGAATCAGTGTTTTATATCTGAAAATTATGAGCCTTTTGGTTGTACAAGTTTGTACTGATGTTCAAATGCTCAAGAAAGGAAGAGAAACTAAAGGAGGATACAGTTCTACAAAAGACCTCACTTCAGATGTATTTGATGTGTGAATTTGATTAGGTGGCAAAGAGCCATCTGCCCACGAAGCCTGGAGCCATGCAAGTGCATATAAAATGAAACGACTGAGCAGCATATGGCAGTTAGGAGAGATGAGAACATGCAGTACTTGGATGCACTGCTTTTGAGTTCATGAACCATGTATCCGGAATGAATAATTGTAGTCCTTGAAATTATGTTCTTTCCAAGAAAGTTTTTGAAAATTTGTCAGCTAGGTTTATTTTCATTTGCTGCAGCATAACATTTTAAAGAGTTTTTTTACTGTGGGAGGCTTTCACAGGAAAAGCTTAACTGAGGAAACTTGGTTAATTAAAATCTGGAGTTCTGTAGCAAGGGTGGATTCTCTGTGAGTCCCAAGCCTGTGGCATCCCAGGGAATGCAGGGCCCCAGGGCCTTATTCATGTTCATATTCATATCTGCTGGAAAATGTCCAGAATTCTTGTCATTCACTGCAAAATTTAGGTCAAGGCCATGGTTAAGTACTTGAGTTCAGGACAAAGTAACCCTTGAAAAACTTTCACCTTTTTTTACTTTTATGTTAGGATGGTGGATTTTGTACTGTATTGCACACCTTTGAA